GGATATAAGTTTTCTTGGTTTGGACTGATATACAGATTTGCCTGGTGTCTCACATGTGAGATTTGCATCTGGATTTTCTTTCCAGCTGACAGTCTTTCTAGTGCCATCTGGAATCTGAAGAACAGTCTGAGTTGCATTTGTTCCCCATGCCTACTCCCTTACTGAAAAAACCTACATAGTTTAAGAGAAAAAAAAAGAGTCCTTTTTCACTTATGTTGGAGGAATGCCAAGTAACCAGAACACAACTTTTTCAGAAGACGAGAGGTGATTATACTCAGGTTTTAACTATCCAGTGAACTTAAGAGGAAAGAATAATTACTACAAAATACTTTTTAAAATTATTTCTTAGTTTGTTAGAATTTTTTAAAAGTTCTTCAAGGTTTCTTAGTACAAATGAAAATTTTACACCAAAGTCTATATGATCTTGGAGGTTTCATGCTTTTCCTGTCTCCACTGGAGCTTCCTGTAAGGGCTGCCATTTGTGTGGATCATTCTGGAATTAAGACAAACAGAGCAGATTTGCACAAAACAGAATAAAACATATCTATGCTCTTTTTTTGCTTTTTTTTTTTTAATTTGCATTGCAGCTCTGTAGCACAGGATAAAATCTGTGCACAACCTACGCACCATTTTGAAAGTCCCTTTGGCCTGAGATGTAGTAGTATTCCTCTTCCTGGCACTTGTCTGAGGTTATTTTTTGGGTTCGAAAGGGCTGGTGATTTTTTCTTGAGATCTGAGGAGGAGGGAGGGAGAAAGCACTAAAGAGAACAAGAAAAATACAGGTATTTACTACAAATTATGATTGAAATACCAGTAGAATGAAGAAAGGCTTCAAAGTAATTTTTAATGTGGCTAAGGGCAAGAAGCAACATGTAAGGTCACAATGCTGTTGTTAAAGCAACTTTTTTTTTAAGTAATGAGACACTGGTCAATTCCCTGGTGATTCTGCTTATGAACAGAGCAATGGTGTGAGATTCAGAGATCCCAGAGTTCAGTATTTTCTTTGTTAGTGAAAAGGTGGACAGATTGAGACAGCTCACTCAGGCTACTGAGCAGCCTGACCATCCAGTAAGGTTGCTTGGACATTTGTTTAAAATACTTTCACATCTCGAACTGAACATTCAGATCAAAATTGGAAAGTGCTTGTACACTCATCAACAGGGTGATGAAAGTGCATTTAAAATGTGCAGACTTGAATAAAAACTAGAAAATATGAGTTGGTTAGTTAATAGACACTTATGGTTTCCTTATTCTTTAAAACTGTGATCATATGAACACATTCCATAGTTTCTTGTGATTTCAAACAAATCAGCTTGTACTGTAAAAGCTATTTGGAAATAAAGTAGTTTCATTATGTACTTTGCTCGCTCCATTATTTCACATAACTACTTTGGACAGGTACAGCTGGGGGAAGAGTTATGAAGCAGAAATTTGCAAGCATTGTTTCCCAAGCCCTCCACCCAATACGGAGTGAAAATGAGCAATGTCCATGTCATGACAGTAATAACTTCGGGGAAACAAATTCTTCCAGAGCTCTGCCACTACTTTAGGCCTGAAACATACAAAGGCATGGATTCCTACTGTTTGCTTTGTAACTATTTGCTAGCTAGGAAAGGAATGGTTGGGTATGTAGAAGAAAAGGCCCATACAGGAAACTGTAAATGGGAGCCAGGAAGGAAAAATAAGCATAGGAGGAGATTGTGAAAAAGGAAACAGATGCAAAAAATATGTACATCCGCAGCTATCAGGATTCAATATTTGAGAGCTGAGTGAAGTTAATGCATGTAATTAAAACTGAAACTCCAGCGTTATTTTCTAAACCCTGAGTTCAGGACATAATATCCGGACATAATGTCCAACCATTATCCAATGACCTGTAGGTATCAGACCGATTGTTTTTTTCATTTACCTGAAATAGACAGAATTTGCTTCAGCAAAACATTTCACTAGAATTAAGTATTCTATGTGTTGTTTGTTAGAGAAGGCTTTAATGTAAAGGCTTTAATGTATGTTCTCATACATGTTAAAATCATGCTTTGAAAAAGTTTCTGCCTGTACTACAAAAATCATTGTATTTCTCTAAATATAATTAAAATGGTCAAACCATACATGAAAGGCAGGTGAGGATCCCTCAGGAACAAGGTGCATTACTCAGTGAGTGAAAGATTTGGATTTTGAGAAGCACAGTGTTATCACAGTGGGAGCCCCAGGACACCAGTGCTAATCAAATGGGGACCTGATGCAGTGGAGCCCTGCTCAGGAGTGAAGCTCAAGAGAAAAGCATCACAAGGGTGGATAATCAAACTTGTGTTGATGAACTTATCATACATATGCAATGTCCTATTTTGCTCATTAGCAAACCCAGCGATGTAATGTAGGTGCTGTTGTCTGAATACTGAGATCCACACCTGGCTGTAACATTGGTGCCTGTGCCGGGGTATGTGCAGATGGGGAGCAAGTGAACTACCCCATCTTACTGTAACAAGGAGATAAGATGTGGTGGGGTCTCTTCATACTCAGATGAGGGAAATACACTGTCCCAGGCTACCATAACTCTTCTGGAACCCTACAAACAATATTCTTTAATGAATTTATTATATGAAGATTTTTACAAGCAAATATCTTCATTATTTAAAAAGATTGTCATTGGTACTTTTAGCCTTCTGCCAGAGTCCTGTCCTTTTTCACAGAGAGAGAAATTTCTGTTTCTGATTTCCTGGGAGTAATTATTTTGAACAATCAGTTTATTTTATAGTGGAAAAAGTCTTTCAAAATTAATGTCATAATTTAAAGATGGAAGAAGATGTTCAGTGATATGCAGTCAAACACACACTTCTGCATTTTGGACACACATCATATATTTTCTCATGCAGCTGAAGATGTGAAGATTAAGTGGTGGTTTTAGTTCTCCATAAATAAGGCATAAGATTAGTATTCCCTTATTTTTTAAAAACTCTTTCCACAACAGAACATGCAAAAGAGAACTTCTGCAAATCTTCAGGACAAGCCAAACATCCAAGCATGTACAGAGTAAGGGAACTTGTCTTTATGTGAAGTATAATTTGGCTATCACTGTGTGGCATAAAGTGACAAGGAGGCACTAACTGTATTCTAAATACTCTGTTGTAGGCCATTAAAGCAGAAGAAATCTGTTTTTTTCTTGATAGTTGTCAAAGCTGACCTTTTTTTAGATTAAATTTCAGGTCGGGGTCGGGCTCTTCTCCCAGGCAACTAGTGACAGGACGAGAGGGCATGGCCTGAAACTGCATTAGAGGAGATTTAGGTTAGATATCAGGAAACAATTCCTCACAGAGAGAGTGATCAGGCATTGGAATGCACTGCCCAAGGAAGTGGTGGAGTCACTGTTCCTGGAGCTGTTTAAGGAGAGACTGGATGTGGCACTTTGTGCCATGGTCCACCTGATGTGGTGGTGTTGGGTCATAGGCTGGACTTGATGATCTCAGAGGTCTTTTCCAGCCTTAATAATTCTGTGATTCTATGAAATCAGCACTAGTTTGAAATGCTCTGCAAAGTGATGCTTCCTGAGAAATAAAGAATTGCATATTCTCAGCCTGTTCCGGTACTAGTATGTATTTTCATTAAGTAGGAAGAATTAGTAATACCAGAGGTCCAGAGACAACAGAGCTGCTTGTAAAAGTATTACTTGCGTTTGGCTTTGCTAATTCTTTTTCCCTGAGCTGACTATTTTGGGAGAGTTCTTGTTTGAAGCTGATGTGTCATGTATTCTTCTATCCCAGATGACTACATTTCTATATGTAATAGCCTAACAGATATATGTAGTGCCTAAATCCAAGTTCTCAAATCACACGTAATATCATATGATTGTCAGTACAGTCACTCATGGCGTCCACGAATCCCATGCTCTGTGAACCAAGTCTAGAAGGACCTTTTTCAGAAGAAGTAACACTTGGTATTGGAAATCGTGGATTTGGTTACCTAGGGTAGAATTCTACAAAACATACACCACTGACAAACTTTGTTGCCCATGAAGTCAGTGGGAAACTCCCGTGGGTATCAGCAGGACCTAAGCTAGCGCTAAGCAGAGTTCCTCAGTTAAACTTCTTTTTTGTGGAGACACGGGGAAGCTAGCTGTAGTGCTGTGCAAAATTTACTAAGATGGTTTGTACAAGGAAATTGTTTCTTACTTGAAAAGCTTATTACAGAGGTGCTTAGGACCACTAGGACTCAGGCTAGAAAGACATAAATTGAATCCTCACTTGCAAATGCAGATCACCCACCACAACACATGAAGGCATGTTAAAAGAATAAGCAAGGAAAACTATTTCACAATGTTTTCTCTTGCCTTGTCCCCCTTGCTTCAGTTCTATGATGTTAATATTGAGAACGTTCTGGTTCCAAAACACTCAGGGAAGAAACAGGTGGCAGCTTTGCTGCCCACATGTCTCTTCACCTGTTGCAGTAAAAACCTGATAGTCTCCCCTGCTGTTTCTAGGCATGCAGTCAAATGTCCTCAGTAGTCATTATGAGTATGACCCAGAAGGGCTCGGGGCAGTGCAGTGCACAGAAATAAATGTCTAATTAACTTTCATGTACTTCTTTTTCCTTATGTTATCACATACCTCTCCATCAATCAAAAAAAAATCAAGCTTTCACCATTAAAAAAATTCCTCCGATTATTTCCAGGATTAAATATTTTGATCATTTTATTTGCACAGCCACTAATTACAACCAAAGCACCATGATATTTCAGCCGTATGTAACCAGGCAGCTTATTCACATCAGGTATGTCTCCCACAGTTTCTGAGGGGAATATCTTGATATTTATACACAAGAACTGCAGCTTATAGAGTTTGTGATAATAAGTGAAAACTTCTGGAGGGGAATATCAATGCCACTGTTATTTGGAAGATACTGCTTTGGCAGGCAGGCCTTTATAAATATTTAAATATTTCTATTAAAAAACACTGAAAAAATAAGATTCATTTCCATTTTGTATTTTTTTGCATTTTTGTTCCCAGCTCCTTGTGGTCAAAATGAAACCAGAGAAGATGGCAAAATAATCCAGCTACCTCCCTGCAAGACAGGAGCATGGATCGTTCCTGCCATCATGGCCTGTTATCTCTTGGTTGCAAATATCCTTTTGGTGAATCTCCTCATTGCAGTTTTCAAGTGAGTGACACATTGCAAAATATGGATTTGTGGGAGGAATCAACATTGTTCTCAGCCTAAGGCAGCTGCGAAGATGAAGATTTTGGCTGAGATTCATTTTCAGAGGATGTGAGGGTGAGAAGTAAAGAGGCATTAGATTGTCTCCAGAGAATGAGGGAAATGCCATGATTTTCACATTGTCTAATTTCCAAGGACGTACACCCAATAGAAATCAGGGCAGAGAAGCAAAAAAAAAGTTTAAAGTTCAGTTATGGCATCATTCACCCCCAATACGTAAAATAAGAATAAAAATACTTTCTTGTTTTGCTGGGTTGTTTTAAGACTTGATGGTTGTACAGAACAGACTTACACAATAGTAAGATACATGGAAATTGCTGATAGCCACTGTGCTTTGCTGAAGCACAAAACTTACTAATTGATTTTGTTCTTCCTCCTCTTTTTGTAACAAATAAACATTTGCCACTATTAGTGAAATATGTCTAGTTAAGGTGCTGTCATATCATCTTCAGTGAAGTACCAAAACCATTTTAATTTGTTGTTATTTTCCTCTTCTTGCCTTCTAGCAATACATTTTTTGAAGTCAAATCCATATCCAACCAAGTATGGAAGTTTCAAAGATATCAGCTAATCATGACATTTCACGAAAGACCTGTTCTCCCTCCACCTCTGATCATTTTCAGCCATATGACTATGATATTCCAACACCTCTGCTGCAGATGGCGGAAGCATGAAAGTGACCCAGATGAGAGAGATTACGGATTAAGTAAGCCTCAAACAAGTTACGCTTTCCAATGCCTTTGGTAATACCTAGTGTTTGACATGAATGAAGGTTAATTCCAGCACCTTGATAGACTTTCCATCAGATAGACTACTTTTAACTGCAAAAATGTTATCTGAATAAGTTTCACCTTCACTGCCCAACACTTAGTTCTCCTCAGAGCATTAGTAAGGCTATGCTTTTCTGGGATTTTGGGGGTATGTTCACCACCTTATTCCTTCAAAACCTAAGGGGTTTGTTTTGCTGTTGCTTGAGGTCTGTCATTGCTGGAGGTTGCTGTTGCTCGAGGTCTGTCCCAGCATTAGCCCATGCCACAGCGTAGTTGTCTATGATGTGAATGTTGGAGCCATGTAGTGGCACTAGAGATGCAACTGCAACAAGACTTTCACTCACATCACGTTATCTGCCACACCGCTTGCTGCTGCCTGCAGATACCAGCTCTTGCCACATCAAATAGAGCCCCTGTACTCTTAGACTCTTCTGATAATTTGACCGTATTTGTATTAGGTTACAGGTGGACTTTGGCTCCCACTGCCTCTCCAGGAACTGACCAACAGCTGTGTTTAGATCTTATGCAATCAAAACACATTCATGTTTGCTCAGCATTTGCCGGCTTAAGTGTTTCTGTCTCCAGAATCATATATAATTGAAGCCACTAATTTGGTAATTAGCTGCATCTATCTGCTTTCATACCAAAATGCCAGATAAATTTGAAGCCTGCTTTTGAAAATTTAGTCCATGAATTCCACAATAAGAAGAATGTAGTTAACTTCATGTGTTAGTTTTTGCAAAAATCACAATATTCCATGTTTCCACAGAACTTTTCATAACTGAGGACGAACTGAAAAAAGTCCATGATTTTGAAGAGCAGTGCATAGAAGAATATTTTAGAGAAAAGGATGACAGATTCAATTCCTCCAATGATGAAAGAATCCGTGTAACTTCAGAAAGGTGTGCTTTTTTTGTTTATTCTCTCATAAGTTGATGTGGAAATTTGTTTCTGTTACCATTCTCACCCTTTCTTTCTTTTTCTTGAAAAAGGAAATATTTGACGTATTTTTAATACATCTTAACTAAAAAGTAGAGTGATGAAAGGTGATGAATTTATTTTCTCTCTTTTTCTATTTTTGCTAAAGCAGATGGTGCTCAAAGATAAGCTGACTGGAGCAGATACTATGTCATCTTTGGTACTATATGATATCCATTACTACAGCACCTTAATGCTGTAAACTGATTGCAATTATACTAACAGCATCTGTGCAACTGAAGACACAGTTATTATCTTGATTTCAAAGATGGGAAGCTGAAGTGCACAAAAATAGGTTTGGGTTGATAAATGGGCTGCTACTCAGCCTACCAGATCAGGCTACCCATGCAGAGTGACAATAGGAAAGGTCTGTGAATCCACCAGAATCTCTCTGTGACCACAAAGAGTTAAGCAGTCTTAGGCTCTGAATGGGAACACAGCCAGGACAACCCAGACTCCTTGCCTGCAGAAACCCCTGCATCTGAGAAAATAGGCTGGCCACTTGCATCAGCAATGCTTTACCGAAAGATGTCAGGCAAAGTACAAATAGCCTTTTACAATCATTGTTTTGTTTAAATAAATCCATTCTACAGTCACCTGTAATAAGCAAAGTGGATAGCACTGTGAGTGACTTTCAATGTCTACAGTTTTTATAGCAGTTGAAAAGGATTGTGAAGTGTAAATGATGTCTTAAAAAATGAGCATAAGTCCACAAAGGGGCTTCTCAATCCCAAACTACCCGCTTTGCCACTCAGTTTGGTATCATTGGCAAACTTCATCAGAGCACGCTTGATCTCATCATCCAGATCACTTATGAAGATATTAATCATTGTCAGGCCCAATATTGATCACTGGGAGACCCCACTTGTGACAGGTTGCCAGTCTGAAATGGAACTATTTGCCAGCACCATCTGGATTCATTCTGTCAGCCCATTCCTTACCCAGTGCATTTGTCTAGACTGTATTGCATCAGCTTCTCCAGGAGGATGCTGTGGGACACTGTACTGAAAGCCTTGAAGAAATCCAGGTAGACAGTGTCCACTGCTAACCCCACATCAACTGAGCAGGTTACTTTGTCATAGAAGGAGATCAGGTGTGTCAAGAACTGTTTGCTCTTGGTGAATCTGTGCTGGCTTTTCTAAATCAAATTTGGGATTGTTCCCAGGAGGATTTGTTTCATAACTTCCCCAGTGACTGAAGTAAAACTGGTGGACCTATAAATTCATGGTCCCTCCTTTAAGCCCCTCTTGTAGATGGAGATCATCATCATCATCTTATCGTCATAGAATGGCCTAAGCTGGAAAGGACCTTAGAGATCATTTTAATCCAGCCTCCCTGCCGCCAGGGACGCCACCTCTCGACTAGATCAGGGAACACATGGGGACCGAGTGGGACATAGCCTTCTCTCAGTCTTCTGGGATGTCTCCTGCTCTCCATGATTTTTCTGGAATTTTTCTCCCAAGGCCTGGGGTTTAACAGTGGTGGTAAAGAGAGAAGGAAAGAAAGTGCTGAAAACTTCTGCCTTTTCAGTGTTGCTAGTGGTTAATTTCTCTTCTGTTTAACAGCAAGCCAGTACTTTCTTTCTCATTCTGGTTTTTGTTTACACATTGGAAGAACCCCTTCTTGTAATTTTTGACATCTCTGGTCAATTTCAGTTCAAGCTGAGCTTATGCTTTTCTAGCTGCATCTCTTACACTTAGGCAATGCCATTGTCGTTCTCAGTGGGGATTCACCTTCTTTTCCATCCCTGGCAGCTTCTCCTTTGGTTTTGAGCAGACTCAGAAGCTTGCAGTTAAGCCCTTTTCTTTAAAGAGGATTAACTGTTTTCGTGCTTCCAGGAGAATATTCTTGAAAACTCTCAGCATTTGCTAGCTCCTTGGAAGCTTCCCAACATATCACTCCCAGTCAAGCTCTGGGTGAGTTGAAGTTTGCTCTTCTAAAAACTAAAACCTTTGCCTTAGTACTATCCTGCAGCACGCTCAGCAGGATCCCAAACTCCACAATATTGTGACCACTGCAGCCAAGGCTATCACTAACACAGATATTACAAAGCAGGTTTTCTTGGTTTTTGAGTAGCAGGTTCAGAGCCTCATTCCCGGTTTACACATCTAGCATTTATATGAGGAAGCAGTCTCCTATACATTCCAGGAACTTGATGGATGACATATGAGCTGCTCTGTTGTTCTACCAACAAATGTCTGGTTGAAATCACCCATAAGAACCAGGTTCTGTGGACCCAAAGCAGGTTCCTACTGTCTGTTTCCCAGGTTGCATGCATATACTTGAGATGGTTGGTCTTCTGGTTCACATCTTGGGAGGTAGCTAAGAAACTGTTGTCACTCCTCTACTTGGCCTGGCTTATTCAGCAGTTGGTTGCAATGGCATGAGCACTGCCACTTTGGACTTCACTGAAAACATTTAACAAATATTTGTTAAACAATGGTTATATGCAATATATATAATAAAAGGTGACTAAATTCAGCTAATAGCTTTGGTTGGAGGAGATCATCGTCACTCAAGATTTCTTTTCGTGAATAAAATTATACAGCTAGGGCCAACCCTGTAAATACATCTGTGTACTTCTCACTTCTCTATACACATCTCTGGTTACACCTAGTTTCTGAACCCAGACCGCACTATCTTTATCCCATTGAGTTTATATTAATTTCCCACTACTATCAATGCAAACATATCTGTGATTACTTCTATAGCAACCGACAGACCATGTAACTCAAAAGTCTCTCTTCATCTTGTCCAGCAATACCACTAGTCTTACACTCTGTACCCCTGTCAGTAGCTAATAAATCATGTTCAGGGAAGACAGGACAAATGCTGCGCATGACCATTAGTGTGTACCACCAAGTTGTGTTCAGTAGCACTGCACAGCCCTCACATAAACGCAGGATTCAAAACTTATCTCACTATGGTCAGTTTTACTTATATTCCAGACACAAAAATGTAATCAAGTGCAATAATGTAACTGGCTATGTTTGTATTAAAAATTATTTCACCTGTGTACATCTCTCAAAGCAAGGAAACAAACAAACAAACAAACAAAACAAAAACAAACAACCCAAGATTATCCAGTTAGATTCACAGAATATTATAACTAATTTTTGTTCCTGGGTAACTGTTGCTGGAGTGATTGGTTTTTGTTGTTGTAATCTAAGCATTCTCAAATAAAATCCTGGAGGTTTCTCAAATTGTTCCATATGTCTGACAGCCTCAAAACTGCGATATCTGTTCATCATCTTAGAGCAGTTGTTACTGCTCTAAGAACATGAATGTTTGACAAGGCACTCAACTATTAGCTGATATATATTTCAAAAGTATAATTGTTTTTATAAAATAGCAGTTTAGAAAACAACATGAGAGAAAATGCAATGCAGGGAGTGGTATCAATCTTGTCCCTCTCCTCTCTTGTGCAGGTAGCTTGCTCTTGCTCCTGACCATGAGGAAGCCAGATCTCAGTGTTCCACAGCTAAAGTTCTGTGCATTAATTAACAAGGCATTAATGCTGCCCAATACTCACGCATTGCTAAAATCTGTTTTCCTACTGAGCAAGGAAAAATGTTTATGGTGTTGCCAGTTCCAGGTCACTGGTCCTGTTGGGAATTCAACTAGCAGTAGTAGAAGATGGTATTTATCTCATCAGAAATCCTGGCTATGATTGACAGAGTGCCTATTAACATTTGAGTATTAATTGCACTAACAGTCAGAGAGTAGAATCATAGAATCATAGAATCGTATCATCTGGAAAAGACCTAGAAGTCCATCATCAAGTCCAGCCTCTTCTCAGCCCTGTCAACCTACTAAATGATTCGCTCCAACTCAACATCCACCCATCTCTTAAACACCTGCAGGAATGGTGACTCAACTTCCTGGGCCACCTGTTCCAATGGCTGACAACCCTTTCAGTAGAGAAATTCTTTCCAATATTTAACCTGAACCTCCCCAGCACAATTTAAATCCAGTCCATTTCCCCTCATCCTATCACTCTCCACTACGGAGAACAGACCAACTCCCGTCTCTCTACAACCTCCCTTCAGGTACTTGTAGAGAGCAATGAGGTCTCCCCTTAATCTCACCTTCTCCAGGCTAAACACCCTCAGATCCCTCAGCCTTTCCTCATAAGACTTATGTTCTAAGCCCTTTACCAGCTTGGCAGCCCGTCTATGTACCCTGTCCAGTACCTCAATGCCCCTCTTGTAGTGAGGGGCCCAAAACTGGACGCAGGACTCAAGGTGAGGCCTCACTAAAGCCGAGTACAGGGGCATGATCACCTCCCTGCTCCTGCTGACAACACCATTCCTGATACAGGCCAGGATGCCATTGGCCTTCTTGGCCACTTGGGCACACTGCTGGCTCATAATAGACTTGTGAAGACAAAAGTGTGGAAATCCTGCCATTTGATATTTGTCGCTTCTTGTTTCAGTTTTCAGCATCTGCAGGAATGGGGAGAACCAGAATTGTAACCTTTAAAATCAGACAAACATTACTTTATAAATGTGTTCCTTTTAATACTTTTTTGGCAGATAATAGAGGTCCCTAGTCTATGCTAGAGACTACAAGCAGAGGAAATAATAATGAGAAGAAATTTCATATGTGCTATTACACAATTTCATTCTGTAAAATTAGAGGACTCCATACAAATCCTTCAGGAGAGATATTTTAGAAGCCAGAAAATTGAAATGTTGAAAGCCACTGGCATAAATTAGTACACAATTCACCTTGAAAGTTGAGAATATTTTAAAATAAGACAAATCAACAGTGTGGAACAGATTTACTGAAATTTGCATTAGAATCACACATTTCATTATTACCTGTTAATACTGTAATCTTTTTATTTATATTTACTGTAATCTTTTTATTTATATTTTATGATAGGTAACTTTAAAATCCATCATTTTCATACCTAAACTATTAATACAGACTACTCAAAGCACCATCACATTAACAGAGAAATCTTAGTGTGTGTACGCTATTGCAGGCTGCATTTGGGTTGATCAGTTCTCTCCCCGCAGTTTTCATGCATACTTTACTTGATATTACCTACATTCAGTAAAATTAGCTGATACTTTTACGTATATATATAAGAACTAAAAATTAATCAGAGAACAAAGAAACAATCTCCTTAGGTCCACACAGCACTATCTGGTGTAAATCTGGGGCAAACACTAGGAAAAAAAAAATATGTTACCTATCATCTATGGCAGTAGCCCATTTTTGTTACTTCATTTAGTTCTGCAGTTAACTGTGGTGGTCCTGCTTGTGGCATAACTGAGCACAACATCATGTGCCATCTGCTTTACAGGTTATTCATTCATAACAACCTAATTAGAAGTTTTGGCCTGGTCTAACTGGACTGTTTGCCTGAGTGACTGTTTGTTTGCTGAACTTCTTTTAGCAGGGTTTTGAAGCAGATGAGGTGGTGTAGATTGGCTTTGAATTTTAGACCTATTTGTTCCCATTTTTTTTGGTGATGTATTAGATAACATCACTACTTTGTAGAAATTAACCTGCTTAATTCTTCCCTTTTTTTAGAGTAGAGAACATGGCCATGAGACTGGAAGAAGTAAATGAGCGAGAGCACGGTATGAAGGCCTCCCTGCAGACTGTTGACATCAGGCTTGCTCAGCTGGAAGAAATGATGGGACGAATGGTGACCGCCTTAGAAAAACTGACTGGAATAGACAGAGGTGAGACAACCAAGATACGATCCAGGACCTCATCGGACTGTACTGATGCAGCCTACATTGTGAGGCAGAGTAGCTTCAATAGTCAGGAGGGAAATACTTACAAGCTTCAGGAGAGCATAGATCCTACAGGAGAGGAGTCCATGTCCCCAACATCCCCTTCGATCACACCCCGCATGCGAAGCCACTCCTTCTTTGCAACAAATATGAAGGACAAGTATGGGTTGGAAAAGTTTGAAAGCATTTTTAAGGAAAGATCTCCAAGCCTCCATCGAGCTATCAGTTCCCACTCGATAGCAAAAGATGGAAAGGTTCCCTTAGCCCCTACCAGCACGTTGTCAATTGCCCCAGACTCTAGAAGGCCTTCTTCTTGTATAGATATCTACGTTTCTGCCATGGATGAGATGCATTCTGACACGGAGCCTCTTGACAGCTCCATAAATATTCTTGGTACTGGAGCTGCAGCTCTGCAGGCACACATAACTTCTTCCATTTTAGCTAACAGTGCATATATTAGCAGTACACCTGGAGAAAAGATTTCTGGCAGGAGTCTTGATTATGAGGAAACCTCTGGAATAGAAACAAGAGCATTTTCTTCAGACTATTCACAAATCACAGACTGTCAAATCCCCTGGGATTCAGACCCTCCCTTGTATCACACTTTAGAGCGATCTAAAAGCAGTCGTTATCTGGCTACAACTCCATTTATTCTAGAGGAAACACCAATTGTAAAATCTCACAGTTTTATGTTTTCTCCATCTCGAAGCTACTTCAGCAGCCTTGGCATCCCAGTGAAAACAGCAGAGTACACAAGTATTACAGACTGCATAGATACAAGGTGTGTGAGCACTCCCCTGGCCATCGCAGAAAGGGCCAGTTTCCCTGGAAGTCTCAGTGGCAAAGTAGAGGATTTGGGATGTTGCCACCCAGAGAGAGAAGCTGAACTAAGCCACCCAAGCTCTGATCATGAGGATATTGAGGCCAAAGACAAGAAGGGGATCCCTTTATCTCCTCAAGATGGCAATGCTACAAGAACTCTGGCCAACAGCATCCCACTTCCAAAAATAGAGCGGGCCAACAGCTACTCTGCAGAGGAGTCCAACATGTTATATCCACAGCACACACGAAAGAGCTACTCTATCAGTGACAAACTTGACAGACAGCGAAACACAGCAAGCCTGAGAAACCCCTTCCAGAGGAGTAAGTCCTCAAGGCCAGAAAGCACAGTGGACAACCTGTCCATGAGGAGATTGTCAAGAACAGGAGCCTTCCACAGCTCTGAAAGCAAGCACAGCTAGGCCTAGAAAAAGCTTACTGGCAGTCTAAAGGTCATCTTCTCTTTAGTCCATTTTTCTTAGCAGTATTAAAAAAAAAACCCTCACATCATCCACTGTCAACTCCAGCTGGCATTTGCCACCAGTCAAGGGAGCACATTGTCAGTCTTGGCATTGCCCACTGAATTACTGGATCTTGACCCAGTTGACATTTGCACTTAAGGAAAAATGGAGTGATAAAAGCTTTACAAAGACTTCAGTAACAACAGGAATAACAAGCTCCTTTTATGAAGTCACAAGAAAAAAATGAGTAGTTCAGAAATCTTACTTTTATTAGAAGACATCCTAAGATCTTTGATCATTATTCAAGTTTTTAGAATGCAGGAATTAACTGGAAAAAAGAGATGTACAAATTACATGTTCTAAACTTCAATCACAAGTTCTTTTTCTTCTGTTTCACCATTGTGATGACTGATGAAAAGCATTTATTATTTCTTTAGGAACTGGCAGCAAACAAACCTAAAGTCTCCCAAATTCCTTACATCCCACACTTGTGGAGAATGAAGAAAGATGAACAAGATAACAACCGTAACATTCAGTTGTCTCTTTTTATATCAGGTTCTAGTGCCACAAAAAGTTTATATTTTTAAGAGCAGAAAGGGAAATGAAATGTCTTTTATACTGCAACTTAAATGGAGGAAGAATTTATGTTAAAATATCAGGTGATTTCCTGTGTAAAACAGGCATTCTAGACTCTCGCACAGCTGAGCAAGCTCAGGATGAATGTAATTAAGCGGAATAGTAAAGATTTATTTTTTTACCACATGTGTCATCAATATGTTATCTCATTAAATCAATGGATGTGATGGAACAGTAAAAACAGGGTTGATCAGAGAAGAGCACAGTAAGTAACAGGTTCTCACTGCTCCGTTTAATTACATATACAAATTGGGGAGATTTATCCACCAGTCTGCCACCAGGATCTTCTTGTTGTTCCACCTGAGTTGCCACTTTTTTACATCATTCCCTCACCTTTTTTTTTTTTTTCATGAGGACATGGCCATATTTGAACATTTCAAAGTGTACATTATCAGGCAGTCTGAATCCAGATTAATACATTTAGACTGAAGTTGCTTAAGGGAAAATGTTTGCAAAGGATTGGAAAACACTAAAAAGCATATATGCTTTTAAGGCAAGTCAAAGAACCACAGGTGTCTGTAAACAGCAAAAGCCATCAGTTACGACTAGGCTTCCACCGTTCAGCAGCACATCTCAGTGTGCATTTAGTAGGAGAAAGTATATCTGAACAGTATTGCAGTTATGGGTTTTGGCTGAAGACAGTCGTAACTCCACTGACCCCACCCACATTCCTAAGGATCCACAATGTCAACGAGAGTTTCAAAATTCTTATGAGAAGATACTACAGTGGTCATAGGTAGAAGGGTATACAGAAGATAGGAAAAGGGTGGAGAAGCATAAAGTGCAACCAGGTCAAAATTTCATATCCTTTATGAAGGCACAACTTGTAAGCTTATAAAAAGTTGAAGCTAGTGCAATTAAAAATTAAAACATCTCTACAATGACCAACATCGGTGTAGAACCAGCTCCTTTTTGCTACAGAAAATTAACACATGAGAGTCGGGTACATAATTCCCATTATTTAAATGGAAACTATATTCCAAATCTCCAAGGCAGCTTTGAAAATGCAGGCTGATGTTTTCTCACTGGGATTTCACTCAGAGAGCACTGTGTGATAGCTAAGTAAAAAAGGCAACAAATCCAGATGTAAAAATGATCATCAGCCTCAAGAAAAGAGGCAAAGAAGGTGAAAACATTTAGGTACTGAGTAACCATGTTGGAAAGTTCAGGAAATAAAGAAATGCAGCATGGGGACTTTAAACACAACATTTCTCATACTTCCTGCACCAACGTGTTCCTCGCTTTCTTCTATTCAGTCATGCTTTCAATGAGATAAACTCCACCAAGACATCATGTTTATGCAATTGCCTTGCAGTCCATGTGCAGCGTAATGGTCACATGGCAACACCAAAAAAAGGTCAGAAACTTTTCTGTGCATTACAAAGCCCGCTTTTGACAGGCTGATTGTTGAACAATAGCAAAGGAACTGTGTGTAACAATCTGTGTCAAATGTGCCAACTTTTATTAGCAGCCTTTTCCTAAGGCTTCTCCAAATCTATCTATCCTCGGTGAGTGGAAGGGGATATTCTCACTTTGTGTTCTATGTTACTTTTACGAATGTCTGCTAAAACTGGTCATGGACTCTTCCACCTTCACCATATTACTGGGCTACTCTAGAGGAATTTAAGATTCATTAGAAATTCTTCAACAGTGCTTAGTTAATCAGTTAGAGGCATAGGGCTCTCCTCTGGAGTAGATTTCATTGTTTGTCAGGGTAAAGGAATTTGCCAAACCCAGAAGCTGTATAAATGTTTAGGATACAGCACTTTATTGATCTGGAGCATACATTCCAGGTAAAATGAAACAGGACACTTTATGTACCTCTTAATATTTGCCATTATATATAAAATGTAAATTCAATGTTAAAAGTGTGATTGCAAGATGTCAGAGCACTACTTTTTTCCGAATGTTTCTCATTTATTCTACAATGTGGTGTCTATAGAATATATTATGATGGATGTTAGATTATTTTGTCTTCACCAGTTTTTTGCACATTGCATCAAACCACTCCTTTTTGAATTTGATGGTAAAACACCCATTCCTTACAATGGAACCAGATTTCTCACTCCTGATACTATGAGCATTTAGTGAGAGTAGAAGTCTTATCATTCATCATCATGTAGCTATAGCATGTGCCATATGACATATTCTGTATCAAAGGATATCTTATGAAATAGATATATATACACATATATATATATATAATTCCCATATATAAACCAGTATAGTTGTGACATGTGATAATATTAGTGAACGTTACAGGACAGTTTTAGTATAACAGAATAAGGTCTTATTTGTAAATCTGTAACATTCAATAAAATAGCACATGTTGCATCGAGTATTAAATTCCACTATCCAATTATTAGCTTATATATGGAATATGCATTTCGGGTCACAGTGTGTAAGTCTGCTATGCTTCACACGTTTCTCTGTATAGCTCCACTTACTTAAATGTCTGTATGATCTGATGTACAAACCTCTGATGAGCCACCATGGGCTGTGACAGGTGAGCTGTGATAGTGTGAAAGATGAACTGGCATGTTATGCAAAAGATTATAAGATAAATGAACTTTAATAATATTTTGAAACTCAACTGAACTTAGCTGTTTGTTTACATACACTGGCTGACTGAGGAAGCAGTGTACAGTACTTTATAAATATTTTCCCATAGTAATCCTTTTTGTTGTTTCAAGTTTAAGTGATGCTATTCTATAGTCGGGGTATACACTTGTCCTAGGAATTGGATTATAGCACATTATTCTTTCACAATAACATTGTGATATGACTGGAGTAGTTTCTCTTCCTTACAGTCCAGTCTTTTTTTGTGTGTCAATTAAAATGCATGCATTGTTCCATGAATTTCTTTGGACTGCTATGAGATGTAACATTTTGCTACTGCCTGCCTGTAAAGATGAATCCAGTTAAGAATGAATTCAAGCTTTTGGATGTTTACATTATTTCCATTATGTTTGATCTTTAGCAAAGTAAGTGACTTTTGTATTGTTTTTAAATGACAATTGTATTTTATGAAATTGAAATATTCAACACTAAATGCAAACCCACAGCAGTGCTCAGACATTTGGCTCTCTCTTTTTTTGGAAGAGATAAGGTGCTACATTATTGTTCCTAGCACAAGTGCCAGTTAACAAATGGCAGTGAGGGGATAATTTGAAAATATAATGAAAAACCAAAACATCCATTCATCCACATAAGGAAATCCCTCTGGGTTCCAGATACAGATTGCCTTTTTTTTTTTTTTCATTTTCCATTTATAGGTTGTTTGTTAAAAAAAAAAAATTATTCGTACCTTTTGTGGAATGGATAACCTTTTGTCAGGGAATAAATACCTTAGGTATATTTTTTGTATGAGAAGAAAATTATTTGTTTATTAGAAACTGACAGCACATGGATAATGCAGCTACACAAACAACTATTCAAAAATAAGTGCTGGTAGCAGCACACAGCCTTAGTCCAATGACTGCAGTCAGAGTGAACAAGTATCTGTCCTGAGAGAAGTTATCCAAGGTATTAGTTAGAGTGAGCCAGTGAAACAAAATTATCTGTAAATTCATGGTGCAAATTTTCAAAACAAGCATAAATGTCTTGTTATGTTGCTCAGGTTATAGTTAAGAGGATCGGACAGTCACCAGAAGGGAAGATGTGAGCTAGTCATTCCTGGGCTTCCCTAGGAATACTTAAGTAGTTGTGATGTCTCTCCCCTGCTTAAAAATATTATTTGCATTTTTGCACAAATATGCATATTTTTTTCAACAAAGGCCACGTTCTCAGTTCTGTTAAATGATAGCAGGAATAAATCACCTTCTTCAAAAGAAATGGGAAAGCTTCATAGCATGAATTTTCTCTCGTTCACGTCAAGTAACAGCATAGTCCAAACCAGGCAGAAGTGAAGCGTTGGGAGTATCTGCATTCCTAATGAACACCCTCATTCCTCTAGAGGGCATTCACTGGCCTTGACACACCTTGGCACAAAAGCAATAGTGTTGAATATGGACGGACTGAGTTTCTGCACCCCAGTGGGAGTTACCTTGCTTTATAGCCAATCACAGGGTGAATGCGATAGGTCACACAGGCTTCTCTTCTCTGAGACTATGGTCTTACTGATGCTGGTGCAAGTCTGCAGAAAATCCACTGATTCCAATGGAGTACTCTGACTTTTGTCAGAGGGTGGATTTATTTGGCATTTCTAACTCTGTATTACTTGGATTCATGACAGATTATCCTAAGTCATCATCAAGTGGGAAGTCTAGGGATTGAGCCATTGAGGCAGACTGGTTGTAAAACAGTTTCTGACCTTTTCATCTTTG